ATATATAAATATTGATTTTTATATAGATTATTGAATGAATATATTATATAAAAATATAATATTAATGATAATTTGATTGTTAAAATTATATGGATATTATAAAATTATGGGTAACTAATGATGGGGATTAATGTATAAAATATTTGGTGGAAATGAATTTATGGATGATTAGGTAATTTAATAGAAAATGATTTATTTATTAGTAATAATATTAATTTATTTTTATAATATATATTATCGGTAGAATATGATTTTGCCTAAATTATTGTTTTATTATGGTGAGAAATTGAACCATGATATATGGGGTGATCAATGTCCTTGGCAATATTGGATGAATATTGGAAATATGGTGAGCATGCCGGATTGGTTGCAATCTGCTTTCATGGGTGTCTTATAGATAAGAAAATTGGGGTGAAAATAAGATATCTTTTTCATGAATTTGGGAATAAGTAATGGTCATATAGCAAATTTAGACCCTCAGTGTATTTATGGTTGGATCGTTTTATGGGTTTCATAAGATTCTTTGGAAGATTTCGTCGTAAATGGGGGGATATGGAGCATAGATCTGAAGAGCCATTGGGTGAGAGCAATGGAAATGAACAGGATTGATCCAATCGAATTTAAGGAAAGAATATAAATTCCTAATGTTCGCGGAATGATTCCCTATGATCCTGAGAGTGAGGATAAGGCTTATTATGGGTATGGGCGTCAAGAATACCATATAAAATACAATTCCTATTAGTCATCCAATATTAAGAAAATCTATTCAATTCTTTTTCGGCCTGGTGGGTACATGTTATTCAAGATAATGATCTTCTTTCCATTTCATAAAGAATGTGGGTGGAGAAATCCAAAAAAGGCTATCTTTGAAATAATGCAAATGCTTATGGGCAAGGAAGGGTAAAGTGGGATCTAGAGGTTGATTAAAAAAATTGAAGAGTTGGCTTAATTGGGAAATAGGAACACAAGAACATATCTAGACCGCAACCGTGCAAATTCTTTCAAAACATGACAGAATCTAATCTAAGAAAAAACCACAAAAACGCGTAAAAAATACACCTGCATAACTTCGAGCTCTCTTTAATATATGTGAAAATATGAAAGCGCAATATTTTAGATGATATTTATGGATTTAAAACATATATTTTTTTGTAAATTTATATGAAAAACATAATAGAATATAATAATGTTGTTTTTGTTGGAAAAGCCTTTCGTTGTGTTGTTTTTCTCTATTGTATAGTTGTAGGGGGTTTTTGTATTTTGATGTTTATGTATTTGGTTTTTGGGTGTGTATATATTAGTTTGTTATATATATTTATTGATGGTAAAATTCTATGTATCAATAGATTATTTTGTTAAATATTGGCAAATGATATGGAATATCTTAATGTTAAAGAGATATATCTTTGGATATTGAAGATTATTTGCCCGGTTGATTTGATTTTATAATGTAAATCCTTAATAATCAATGATTGATCGTTAAAGGTGAATAGAATAATGTTGGTTTATTTTTTAGGGTATAATCTAAATAACTAAATCTAAAAGGAATTTATATATGAATATTATCAATTTTGGTAATATCAAAATGATTTCGTAATAAAAATAAAATTGTCCGTTTGTGTAATTTTGGTTTAAATTGAATATCGATATGATATTGTTTTTTATTTGAATTAATAAGATATATATTATGTTGAGGCGTATAAACAGGCACGTATTTTCATTTATTCGGAATTGTGGAATTATTTCGATTTTGTCCTAGGTAGATGTCGCGTGGCGATCGAAGAAATTAATATATTTTTGGAATTCTGTGGATTGATTGGGAATGATTTATTTGGATTGGCGGCGATATTTGTTGGTTTAGGCCTTTTCGGTGATAGGGTCGTAAGGTCCTAAATGATTATATAATTGTAAGAATTCTTCCGCTTTCGTTGCTATGTTGGATTAATCGAAAACAATATTAACCAAATCCATGCAGCAAAAAAGAAAGTGGCAAAGCAGAGCAAAGCTAAGGGCCATTGCAAAGTTATTCCCTCAATCGGCCCTCAACAATTGTTTGTGGAGGCTGGCTAACAGGGTCTCGAATGCGAAGGCGAAATAGGAGTGAAATATTATCATGTTTGCTCTTGAGGTTATGGCCAAGTGTAGCGCAATAATTCCTGCCTGTGGGCTGCGACCCCCATTTGTCAAGATAGTGTCGTTCCTTGACGACTTCAGATTGACCCGACGGATCTTCTTCCAGATCAAAATCATCTGGAATGAATTCCAGTATCTCGCCCATGGTTGCGTAGAGCTATGCACACCATGCCACCCCATGGGATAATAATTGCCTTTGAAATTGCCGTGGTAGCAGGTTCTAGGAATATACGAGGTTTACTAAAAAGCAAAACAGCGATCGAAATCTGTTTTTCCGCGGCCGAATTTATCTCTCCCAGAGGAGAAAATAACAACAGATGAAAATAACAAGAGATCTATCGAGAAAGAAGGAGGAGACCAATCTATTAGCACGTAGGAAATGAAAAGAAATTCTAAATGAAATCAATATATTCTATTCTGGGAAGGCTAATTTGCAGATTATATTTCCGAAGACCTTCATATTTCCCCCTTGTCGAACACCTCAAATACAGAAAGGATAGGAGGCATCCGAGAAGGAATCTAATGAAGAAGAAACCCCGAAGAGAGGAGAAAAGATAGGTAAGGACGAAAAGGAGATGGAGAGGGATCTATTTCCTTATTGTTTATTTCGTAAACATCATAAGAAATTATAGAAATTATAGAATCATAAGAAAATATAGAATGCCAAGGAAAAATCCTATCCCAATCTCGGCGGAAACGCCGTGAATGTAAACACACAGGGATAAAGAAGCCTCAACGGCAATCCGAATTCAAGGAATTTTTTGATTCCAAGAAGAGATGAGGGGGCAATGAATGATTCCTAAGAGAAGACCAGCTGCTACACTATTTGGAGGTCGAATTCGTAGACCGATTTATTGCGGCTTTGGCTCTGAATCCTGCGGAGAAAATAGCCCACAAAGTGTCAATTATTGATAAGGTTGAGATTGCAGGAGAAATGATTGGTCTGGAATGAAATTAGCCTCAGAGCTACCGGGATTCCGGGCGAATTTTTATTGATATGAATGATCGCCGAAGACGATCTCCAAATATCCATTGCGATTGAGGGGTTGATGCATTGTTGTAACAAGATAATGAATACCTCTGGTATAAAATTTTTGGACGTATATAGGCAAACGATATGAATTAAAGAATATTTTAGAGGAATTTTGTAATTGTTGAATATTTAATTTATAAATGAGGTACCGAATAAATTTTGAAGACGTCTTGCATATAATAGTCGATTATATATCTTGGAAAAAAAAAAAAATCTATTAGCCTTGCCCCTCCTCGTAGCATATTACGTAACCTTACGATACTAAGAAAATAATAGAAATATATGCAATCATTCCAAGAATTGTCTAAATTTCGATAATGCGTGGCTACCTATGACATATTTCTTCTATTAATATAATCGATATATAATAAATTCTTTAAAAAATCTAAATATGTATATTACGAATTAATCAATATTCTTTTATCCGGCCATTCTTCTCGGAAAAAGAAAGATATTTTTCGCGGATATTTCGTGACCTCATCGCAAAGCTTGGTCCGATAATCATGTCTATCTAATATGATCCGAATAAAAATTTGAATGACTCCTCCGTTACTCAGGGTCATTTACAGCATCTGTGCCACAATTACCCCAAATAAAATCAATCACATTTCAACCCAATCCTCATGCCAACTACCAATACAGGGGGATGCAATTTAGGAAATATTAGGGGATTTCAACGATACATTCGCGAAATTTTCGCGGATCTTTCGCAAAATTTCATTGGTGCTTTCCATGGGTCTATTCAAATTGTTAATTCTACAAATTTGCCAAGCTGGGTGCGCAAATATAGAGGTTCCAATTCCCCAATCTATAATATATAAAAATATTTCCGCCTAACGTCTCTGCCAAAAAATTGCCTTAAAATTCTTTATTCTATCAATTCGATAAATATATATATATATAAATAATGTCCTTTTTCGCGAAAAGAATTATTTTATATTTTAAAAAATAATCTAAAATAAATTCCTTATAAAATATGTTCGATCAATTCCCATATATATTTAGTTATATATTTATATATATATCTTAATTCAATAAATATTTATATTTTAAATATAATATATATAAATATCTTTAATATATTTTTATATATATATAAATTAATATAATATTTATTATCAAATTAATTTAATTTTATGTTTTAATTAATTATTAAATATCTAAAATTTTCAATTATTCCTATTAATAATTCAATTAATAATAAATTCATCCTAAAATTATATAAATATTAAATATATATTAAATATATAAATTTATAACATATTGTATTTTTAAATAATTAAATATATTTATATAATAAAATATTTATATTAATATAATATAATATATAAATAAAAATTCAATCATAATTATTCTTTCAATAAATATAATACAAATCTACCAATATCTATATTATATAATAAAATATATAAAAATAACCCAATTAATTATTTATTAAAAAATCTTTCATCTAGCACAAATTATTATTATTACAATTAAATTAATCGGAATTCATATAATTCATTCTTATTAATATATCATATTTAAATCTCAAATACATATATATATATATTATCTCATATATTATTGTAATTTAGATTATATTTTGAAGGAACTAATTGAGGTAATCGAATATATTAATGAATGAGGGCGGATCCAAATTTCTTCGAATATCAAATCAAAATCCCTCGTATTCTATCTTCTTCAATGTATATGGTTGGTTGTTGGCTCTTTCGCCAGCAAACAGCACTTTGGCTGCAAATGTTCAAAGGCAAACCTTCTTCTAATCTCAATTCGATCGCACCCACCTCCAGGTGTTGGAAAGTGCCAGCCTATGGCTTCAGTCACCCACAACTCAAAGAGCTCTTGCTTTCGGGCGCACCGCATACTTGCCCAAGGTTTCCTTGTTTGGACAAACGAAACATGCCATTTTGGTAGGGTGTTAAGGAAATCTGCTAAAAATACAAGGCCAGATCACCTCAGGGAAGCGAGAAAACTCAATAAAGTCTGAAATTCAAATACATGAACATCAAATACCATGGGATTCCAGAGGCTGGTCCTTGAATGAAGAATAAACGAAAAATCATCCCCATGGCCCATGGCAAACTTTGTGTTGCTTGTCTTCTTTCCCACGCAACGAACTTTGGCACAAAAGCATATAAAAGGAACATCTGTACTTGCTCGGCACGATGGATTGTTCCAACAAAGCAACTCCTCGGTAGTTGATGGATTCAAGAAGGATCTGCTGCTTCGTGATGGATATGTCGAAGAAGCCTCAGATCCATATCCCGGCCAATCGAAGAAGCTTTGTTTCTACCAAACCCTCGAGGTCCCGCACTAGCTCACAGCCAGGTCACTGCCCGAAACAACAAACACATGTGTTCTGCGGAGTTTCGGGTGGCCGGCTTGACTTGGCCCTGGAAACTCTACAAGACTGGCGATGTCCTTCTAAGCTGCAGCATTTGAATACAAGTGCTGTGTGCAACAAAAGAAGAGGGGATGCGAAGGTGTATAAAGAAACATCAAACATCTTCAGGGCACGCTGCGCAGCCGACGCCTGTTGTGGGATTGCATGTGACTTGGTGCCCCGAAGATATTCGACTTGCAGGAGACCAAGTCACCAGAGCAAGTACATGTAGGCTTCAAATGGAAATGGACCAAAGTTGACCTCTCTCCAACCGCTCGAAACAGTGACAAATGCATGAAACCTCTTTTTCTTAAACAGCTTAAGTAAGTTCCACACCAGCGGATCCCCCCGATGATCAGCACCCAGTGGCCATACTGGTTACTCTTCGGATGAGATGGATCTGCCTCTGAGGTGATCCCACCTCCACCACCGGTGATGAAGCAGGTGAGGCCTGCACAGCCACCCCAGCCACCCCAGGTGGGCGTCGAATGGATGGTGGAGCTTCATGGGCGTCGTGAAAGAGGTGGATTTCGGAGATCATCTGTGTGTGATGTTAACATGGGATCGTTTAGACATGGACTGTTTGAACTGTTTGGACCCGTTTGAAGCCGCTCAAACTCCAATGTCCACAGGGAATGTCGCACTTTTCCTCAACCAATCGGTTCTTTCTCAGACCAATTTGACAGTCTCAGTAACAGTGGTCAGCTTGATCTGAACTGATCTACGAATGAGCCGAATCATGCTTCTCGCGGCCGGCCTCCCAACATTCCAGACTCGTGATAGACTTGCTGGTCATGGGTATGTCCTGCAAGCAGGCTCACACATTGTCTTCTCTCACTTTCAGTTACAGTGGATTCAGAGTAGATGGTACAATCCCCAAGCTCTGTGGTTTATATATATATACATATACCAATATAGAAGACATCTTGGGATCAATGCCATCTACTTCTGACACGTAGTTTCTCCTGATTCCAGCAATGTGTTGGCTCAAAGGATCCAAGAGTATCAGTCAATGGCATCCACTGCATGGTCCGGACCATGCCGTGATGCACAGCAGAAGGATTCGAAGGAAGCAATGCAGTCCGACGCAGCAACAGTTCAACAATAGATCTACTCATAACCATCTGCTTTTGGGATGCAATCTTCGCACAACAAGTCCTCATGTTTGACCTCCGCTGGCAAGCTGGGAATGCCAGGCTGTTACTTGCCCGGTGCCCAGTCCTGTGATCAGCAAATCCAAACCATACTTCTGATGCAGCTCCTTGTACCATTGAGCCTCGGCACAAACAGCAAAGGCTTCCTCCGCTTCCTCTCTGTGCATCATTGCGCATCGAGTTGGCCACAACGGCATGATGGCCACTACCGAGCGAGCACTTTAAGAGACACGGCGCTGTGAGGGGCAACTGGAAGTTTCATTGGCTCTCTTCCTTCCTCCCCCAAAAATGAAATAACACATCAACTCTGATCCAGAACCAGGAGATTTTAAGTGAGTCGGTTCAATCTGCCACTGTTCACAATTAATTTATACATATTTACAGTATACCATTTCAGATCCCCCACAATTTTCTGGGTGTAATGTTTGATTGATTTGAAAGAACACCTGGTGGCCGCGCAGCTGGAACCATTCACCATCATTCATCTCTAAGAAAAAAGACACAAATTCTCATCGCCTCGTGTCCACAGTTGAAATGCGTGGCCACGATCTGCCAATTGGCCTCAAGTGTTCAGCCATGTTCGGCAGCTATGATAGCTGTCTTGCTAGTAGGGGGGAGGTCATGGCTAGTAGCTCGGAGGCGCCCATTGCTTCTAGGTCGGAGGCCATCGCTATTAGTAACTCAAGAGAAGAATGTGTCTTTAGTTCAGTCTCTTCCAAGTCTTATGATAAGTCGAAAATGGCAGCTATGAGAGCATCAGAAACGGTCCTCCAAAAGAGCCGTTGCTCTTCAGGTGATTTGTTGGACGGCCAAACTGGTCTGCCACACCCACTGGTCTACGGCCCAGGTTCAGTGACAGAGTGTTCACTTGAAAGTCTGTTTCGATGCTTTGAAGTGAGCCAAGTTGCAGCCAAGTTGCATTAGACTCAGTGAGTTTCTGCTGAACCCATTTCTTCTGTTCTCTCCAGAGTGACCACATCCAGCTAAAGCAATCCTGGTATGCGAGCAGCGTGTGTGGGTACCGAATGCACTGGCAATCTTTCAATTGGAAAGCCTAGGGAGATTCCATCAAAGAAGGCTTTTGGATGCTTTTGGATCTCGGGAGTTGAGGCTCCAATCTACTAGCAATGGCCACCAACCTAAGAGCGATGGCCTCCAACCTAATGAGGCTCGGCCTTAGATCTTGTGGTCTGAGTGTTTGCCACGGTCTTTCTGACTGAATAGCAAAAAGGCATCTCCTGCTGGAGCCTTAGGCCTGTTGCAGGCGCCATTGTATACACCAAACAGGAACAGTCTCCTGGTATTTGACACATCACATCGCAGTCATGCGGTCTTTGCATCCAAGTCTGAAAAGCATCCCTTGGCTCATTCAGAAACCAGCCAGCCTTGAGATTTGCTGGACCACCAGTTGCATCGCAACGAGCATTGGTGGGGTTGTGCAGCTGTCCTCAGCAACCACTTCTCTCAGAAGTAGAATTGCGGACCCCAGAAATTCATTCCGGAGCTGCTTTCAGGAAAGTATATATCGCCTGCTAAGTTCTGACTTGTTCAAACTAACCGTTCGCGTAATGTTTGCCCCTAACAACAAGCTGATTGCCAAGATCAATGTTGCAGTGATTGGTCTACATCATCCTCATTGGCCTCTAAACGTTTAGGGGCCGTCCTCCGACGAAACGACCGTCCATTCACTAGAATGTTGCCATCAAAAGTGCCGTTGACGGACCACTCATCAAGTTGCTTCAAAAACCAAGCCGTGGTATTAATCATGTTCTCACTCATCAACACTTCTTGGGGGGCCACTACAGCAGAGTGTCCAGGAAAACCCCAGTATTTTTACTCAGGGAATCCAGCATTTGTCCTTTTATTCTTTTGACCTGTCCGATTTCCTCAATTGGGGGAAATCCCCCACAAACCATCACGAACCCCTTGATGATGAGGTCAATGAGGTATCTTGACACAAATGACCGGTCCCATCTGAAGACCTTTTACAAGCAAAACCTCCACCGTGTCAACCGTGTCGTGGTTGGCCCATGTAGAGCATGAAATGCCCATGTAGGCCCGAGCTCGAAGACGGGAAACTCACGAGCAAACTCTTCTTCTCTTCACCATCCTTTACCCAGCGATGTGACAAACGTGCCAAGGATTTTTTGGGGTGGCGGTGGCAACCAACCTCTCCCATGCGACAACCGTCGTGCGAGTGGGGGGTCGACCGGGTCAGAGTCTTCTCAATTGCCATACTTTGTTCCCATGAAGCGTTCAAGTCACCGCAAATGTTGTGCTCAGGATCCGCATGCATGGGCTTCACCTGCAAGGTTGGGAGGATCAACCAGGTTCAACAGTGCAAAAACAAAGAGACACGATCTTTGCCAGGACCACTGGATTTGTTGTAAATTACAAAACGGTTTGTTGCATTTCTAACTGTGACACAAGCTGATTTGAGCATGGCCCCTGAATAAAACACACCACACACCGGATGTCTACCAATGTGTTGCGCGTCAAGATTTGAGACCAGGGTACGGGTCTCCCTTTTCTCTTATCCAGAGTGCAGACAAGCCCCAGAAAACCCAACCCCAAGGGCATGAATTCCCCCAACGGACCCTTGCCAGCGAGAGGGTCATCTTTTGACGTGGCTCGGAACCCATACTAGGCCTCCAAGAGGCCCCAGTGCACCTGGGTCTCACTTGACAGCCTGCATCTCAACCGAGCTCCGCCTGTTGCACCAAGTGGCATCCATGGCGTTGCTGTCGATCATGAAGATCTCGGCACTGAAATCCTGAAGGATTCGGATAGTTTCACTGTGCGTTTTCCGAAACCGTTTGTGGAGGGCCCTCCATGACAAAGACACACCCTGCCTGGCCTTGAAAATGATGTCTTCTACGAACAAGTGGTGTTAGGGCTTCGGGGACGATCTTTGTCTGTTGGGAGTGTTGAATTTACTTCAGTCAATCCTTGACACCAGCAAAGGTATACTTCGCAGAGGAATTCTCAAGTACTTGTGTTCAATCTTTCAGCTAGACACCCACCGCGAAACGTTCTTCAGCACCAGTACAGCTGCTCGAAAACCAAGAAAAACGTTCAAAAACTATGTCCTGTCACCATCCCTTAATACAGTAGCACTGCTGAGTCTACGTCCGCTCGGTGAACTGCGAACCCTGAAACTGTCTGGTCGGTTCCGTCGACCAAGGTGCCAAGTCCGGATACTCCACCCGCTGCATCCAGTAGAGCGCCGGCAGTCTCCAGCGATCAGATGCCCAGGTATACGCGATCCTCGATGTAAGAATATTCGAGTGAAGCGAGCGGTCAAGTGCTGAAAGAAAAAGGGAATCTTGAGAAAGTGTTGGATGTTCTAAATGGATTTGATCCTTTGTTCGATGAGACAAACCAGCCGTTGTGGCTTTTAATGACTCTTGGGCAAAATCACTGTGGGACGGTCGGATGTGGGGAAGCGTGGCCAAACAAGAGCAGCTTCCCAAAAGCACCAGAAAGCTGAAACATGCAGTTCCAGAAAGACGAAAAGAAAGGCCCAGAATGATTGTTCTACTCCACCAGGCAGCGGCAGCGGGGTGTAGACCAATTGCCTTGGTGTCCACCTCTGCTGGGTGCCTCTCTCTGCCCCTGCCTCTCTCGAGTCCGACTCACGTAGCCGAGAGAAAAGAAAGAGGCTGCCAAGGTTCTGTTGGTCCCAAGCCTCACGTGAGAACAAGATGTTCCAACAAAAACAATGACAAACAAACCATGACTAAGTAGCTGCTGTAGCTCTGAAGGTTCATCCACCTTAGTGATCTACTGTTGGGGTTCAAAGCTCCGAAAAGGAGATTGAAACCAGACCGAGGAGTTGTTTCCGCTTCGAAGCAGTCGCAACTGAACAATCTCACGCCTTGTTGAACTGGTAGCCACCCCAATCATGGTTTCCCAGCCTCAAGCTGCGCTTCGATGAGCACCGCCATCTTTCAGTTGATGGGGGGAATTCTCCTCAAATGCCTCCAGAACACCAGCTATGCAAACCAGCATGTTCCGGAGCCCATGTATTTTCACCCGGCGTTTTTCTTCCCTGGGTGTGTCCCTCAAGCTCCAGCAAGAAGGTACATCTGTACCAACTGCAACCATAGGATTAGATATGGCCTTAGATATGTCCACCACTTGAAGAGACATCACTCTTGTGATCCCGTCGATCCAACTGGTGACCTACGGCGACCGGCTAGCATTGGGCAAGAATCTGATCGACAAAACTTACTTTGATCTACACTTAACTTAGACTATACTATACATGACTATACATATATATATATATAACAAAGGACCTGGCAAAGGATGAGCGTGTTGTATCCCCGGAATTCACAGGGTTTTCCGTGTGATCTCAAACAGGGTGACATGGATTCACCCACTTCAAAAAACGAACTTAGGTGACTGCTTAACTTTCAAAGTCCCTGAACCTGATCTATCTGGGAAACAAACCAGTCCAGTTGCCTCACTCTCGCTCAGCCAGCCGACACACTCAACCAGGGCTTTCCATCTAAGCCAGGTCCACCGTAGATCTTCTCGAAGATCTCCTCAGCGGCCCATGTGGGCAGAGCACTGCTTATTCAGCATCCGCTGCAGTCAGATGCTTCAGCCACTCACAGAAGGCCCACGGCCAAACCATCCCAAACCCATGCACTACCAACAAAGGCCGGGAGACAGTAAACTGCTGCTGCGTGACAGCGCTAATCTGATTCATGGGAGTGCCGCACCTCGAAAGGAGCAGGCAATGACTTTATGTTGAAAAACAACTGCAGATCGAAGTGGCGAAATGGGGGTGAATGAGCAGATCGCATGAATTTGGGTGCAGGAAGACTCCAATTTGAGGGCTTGACTAAAGGTGAATCCGCAGCCCAAGACAAGGTCAATCCGCAAAAGTCACCAGGTGGGTCCAAGGCGGGTCAACTGGCTCCTTCTTAACCATGCTTTCACCCCCCTAAAGAAAAACGTCCAAGGGTCTCCACAACAGTGCCCGGTTCACAACATCGTCTCTCCTCCAAGTACTGCCAGGAAGCTCGGTGTTGATTCCTCAGGGGTCAAGTCGGTGTTGTGCAAAAGCCGTGCTGAACCACTTGAGCCACTTGAAGTTCTCGACTTAGATCTTTTAACCCCTGGTCTCCACAGACTCCATATGGCCGTGGGTCAAAACTGGGGGACCCTGTTTGACCACCGAACATGAACAGACTAGACTACTATCACCCCTTAAATTCCCCAGCAGTCTGCTGGCAAGGTCGCAATTTGAAGCAAGTCCGAGTGCCAGAACCAAGCTGGAGTATGGGAAGCAAGAAACTGCAACTGACTGTTGCAAGACCCACTGCACTACTGGTCACAACATTCACGCATGGAACATGAACCCTTTATGCGGAACGTGGGGAAGGATAGTTGCCACGGTCCGTGCTAGTAGAATGAGGGGTCTACTAGATTTGATGATTGACAGAAGCCTTCATTCCGCCACTCGACCCTCTGAAAGAGAAACCTTCTGAAAGGGTCAATTGCTTGTGCAAGTGTCTCCTATGTTCAAAGTTGTTCACATTGTCTGTTTGCTATTTGCATGTTTCCCAGTACATGTTCGCTGGCTCTTGTGTTTCTATGAGAAAGCCAAGCCAACCCAAGCCCATGACACATCCCAAGCCCATGACACAACCACAAGGCGACACCATCCACATGAAACAATGCATGAGAACCGAATAAACGAATAGGAAAAAAACACGTGCTAGTCATTTACTTGGTCAAGACGGTCGGCCCCGTGACGCTGCAAAAGGGACGAATCTGAAACGACCCATTCCCGTCGAGGCTGGCAGACATCAGGTATAATTATGGATATATGGGTGTGTCTATGTGTGTGTATATGGGTGTATAGATTATAATAGGGAGACCTCCCAACTTCCATGGGTTTTGCTCTAATTCCCGAACCTTCCGGGGGGTCGGAACGCCTGCGGTTCGGTCTCTAGTTTGATACACGGTTTATACCATACACCGCCTCGAAATCTGTTTGGCTGTGTATTACTATCTCCGCCCACACTGGCCTCCCCAATAGAAGTTGTCTCCGACGTTCACGATGAAGTCGGGTTGGCTCTGCGCAGCCTGAAAAAAGCTGGAGCTCAGTGAGCAGCAAGTGTGGTTTGGAACTGGCAACTTAAAATGTTTCATACAACCACACCCTCACCCAGCTACTTCATCTGCAACAACCAGCCAATCTTATGTGTGAATTCGGTCCTCAAACTGATACAAGTACTAAAATTACTACAGTAAAGTGCTTGAACATGAAAAAAGCCAGGATGGGCTTCAGGATGGCCCATTTGAGGAACTCTAAACGAAATCAAATCTCCTGAGTAGGAAAGCCACTATGGCAGTTGTCTGATTTTCTAGGCTCACCTCCCAAGCAACACCAGACTCACTGTATAAAGATTCTGACCATGGTGACCTTTATCAACCACCTTTTACTCTGGGTTCTCACGGCTCTGGGTTCACGCCAATGTCCCGGCGTTCAACCACGACTGTCAGCTGATATGCTCACTGTCCCAGGGGCACGTTTCTTCATCTGGGTGGCCACCAAGACTTGTGCTTGCCTCGCGGTCTCAGAACGTGGTCTCAGGCCGCTGCTCGAATGACGAAACTGGGACGGCTAGGCGCGGCACTTCGGCGGGGAGCGATGGCGACTGCACAATTCTGCGAAGTGCCGCGAGGGGGGCAACGCATCGGATGGTATGTCAAAAAAGTGTGTCTTTTGATTGTTTAACATATTTCTTGTACTTTTTATTTGATCCATGGTTCCTTGTGCAGGGTCATGCAGAACCTGCAGAGCCATGCAGAGCCCTGTCTTTGAAGACACCACCAAAACAACTGCTTGTCACAATGGATTCCATGGCTACGATGTCTCACACCGTCACACAACAAGCTCCTCCCTCCCCTCAGCCCCGTGGCAAAAACCCCTTGCCTGTCCACCTGCGGGTCGTAGTGACAACTTTGCTCGCAAGTATCTCCTGGAAATTGCGATCATCGGAACTGCAGGCATCTGAAGGGTCTTTTTACTGAGCCGGAGGAACATCAACATGATCAGGATGAGGCGCTCGGGGGTCGCCCGGCCAGGAGGCCAGGAGTCTGGAGTGCCAATTCCCCCCCAAGTTCATCGTTCATTCTGGCAGACCACCCACATCATCCCACATCTCACATGGTCCACCTGCGAAGCACGCAATCATCTTGTCGGTCTTGCACGGACCTCTCCACCTGGTCACTCGGTTGCCCGGTCCAGCACGAAGACGGCCGTTCTCGCGTGGCAAACGGGGCGAAGACCGGTTTCTTTTGGGGGCTGGTTGAAACAGCCATGATCTGCCATCGCTCCGCAATGTTTCCCAGTTCATGTCATTTCTATGTTTCTTTCAGACACTTGGATCTGTTGAGTGGAATGCACAGTTGCAAGGATTCTGGCGCACACAGGTGCCTGAAGAAGCATACCAGCACTAATGGACGAGTAACAGCTGAGTTGGAAGCTCCCCACTGCGGAAATTGACCATTCCCAAGCAGAAAAATAAAACAAATAAGAAACAATTCCGGCGCCACGCCTGGCCATGGTATGAGGCCCTGGAGTCTGGCCACTACGATATTGGATCATGGGCCTGAGGCAATGACCAATCGCTTCCGGAAAAAAGAAAACACCGTGGTATTTGAGGAAGCGAAGCGAGCGAAGAACACATGTGGATGGAACAGTATACACATGTTACATGTTTGTTGTCTGGGTTGGTGGATAAACGAAAGTTACTGTGACTTCAACTAGCCCTCCGTCTTCTTCAGTCTTCCTTACAGACCTATGACCTACCCTCATCAAAGCCAACATCAGCCTTCTTTGGCGACCTTGGCATGCAAGTTTCCCTTACAAAGCCAACGTTTGAAATCATCCGCGTCCTATCCCAAAGTACTTGCTCTCACATAGGAAAGACTTGGATGTGTATTCAAATAGGGAGACCTCCGAAAGAACCCCTGGAAGAAGGTAAATGGACCAAAACCCATAGATTGGGGCTCTCCCTATTGAAATACACACCCACATGGATATGGCAGTGTGTTGGGTGTGTTTGCTCTGAAACAAAATACACACCGAAACACCGGTGGCGCTGATCGCGCGGTGTCCGTCGTCCGCGCAAGCCAAGCGCGGCCAAGGGTCGCATAGCCCGTGCCGAGCAAACCACCCCAGTCGCCTAGAGCAAAGAAATGCATGCTCCTTTTTCCTGTCGTCACAGGTTGACATCAACTTCTGCGGCTCTATCATGGCTTCGTGTCTACCAAGACACAGTGGAGTTCACTAGTTTATTAAACAGTTTGCCTTCAAAATCATCTTGGAAAATAAGAAGGATGAGAAGGTAACTCGGGTTGGAAAGGGGAGACTCAGTGAACAAACACCCCAAAATGTGTGGCAAATCTCAAATCTCCTGGCAGTTTGAGCACCTCCCAAGCACCACCATTGTAGGTATCCACCTGCCACAGGGATGCACACCATCGACGGGCCTTTCCAGAGGCTACTGGAGATTGTAATAAATTACCAAGTTATAATGACATGCATTGTTGCATTTCCATAGATGTTGTTGACTGCAACATGACGGGACTTGGGGGACAGCAACAATGGCCGAAGCCTGAGAACTGAGCCTGTCACCAGCTGCAGCGCAAAAAAAACGGACAAGGGTGTTAAAGCTTTTGGACTAATACCAAACTTCACTCTTCAAACCTTGTTGAGAGGTTTCATTGGTTAAGTCCTGAGTATCACATGCTGCTGGGGTTGGAACCTCAAACTAACCATTGAACCCACAAACGCCATCTGGGCACTATTCTGGGTTTGTCTGAGAATCAAAACCGCAGCTGGATTACACTTGCTAGATTGTGGGATGTTCTCATCTGCCGAAACCCCAGCTGGCAGACCTCCGTGTTTGAACCAACCAACTCAAACGTAACACATACCTCCAGGCAACAACGGAACCATCCAACTCAATGGTCATCCCCAAGAGTGCAGTTTCCTCTCAAACTCCTGGTGATCTGCCACAAGGTGCTCTGCCTCAGAGTGTTCTTGAAGTTCCCTCACTTCTACTAAGGGAGTCTCCACCTTGGCCAGTAGTTAGCCCGCCCGCCCCCTCATCATCTGCTTTGCCCTCGGTCGCCTTGGCCGGTGGATCTAAGCCACCCCGGCGTGTGAGTCGCAGCTGCGACATGGGTGCGGTGCCTGGGAACCGAGCCACCGAGCGGTGAGCTGACGCAAGCGACGCGCGGTTTCGGGGCGGTTTCGGTGAGCAGCGAGCGTTTTCACCACGGGGTTTTCACCGAAAACGGCCGGTTTTTCGATGTTCACTCGTCTTGCTCTTGCAGAACATCGGAGGAATCCAAAACAGCTAGCACCTAGGTGGCCAGCTCACAGACAACGAATCAAGGTGGCCAGCGTTCGCACGCAAAGAATCAAGGAGGCTAGATTCAGGCTAGATGGTGTCAGCGAGACTCCCTCTATGCCCGCCTGTAGGTTCAACTTGAAGCACTTGGTGATTCAAATGGTGTGGGTCTTCGTTTAGGTTGGCTCACTTGCATTGAACATTCAGCAAGAACCAAGACGTTCTGCAAAAGCGCGTTGCTGTGTTCTGTACTCGCCCGGTGGCAACAGAAGTGTTCCATGTCCCCTAAGGTTTCCTTGACAGTAGCGCTTCCTGCTTGCGAAAAAGCTCCGCATAGGAGACATGGGTCACAGAATAGACTCCGCTCTTGGCCCACAAAGAACATATCCACATATTTAATGCATGCAGCAACCACTAAGGACACTAGTAGTAGCTCCTGGCATCGCTACTAGGAACAAAGGGCATCGCTACGAACGGAGCAATAGATCATGAATCTTCCCTCTGTTTCCATGCGCAGACTCATCCCTTTCCCCCTTCTGATGAGTGAAAGCCGAGCAACTCTGCGGCACATATTGTGGCGCATATTGTGGCGCCTGCGGTGCGCTATACTGCGGCTGCACAGGGGGAATGTATCCTGGCGGCGGCACTTGTCGCGGGCCAATCGATCATCGAAAACCAGAATGCCGGGTCAAACACCAACCTCTGTTCCTCGTGGCTACATGACCCACCAAGTCACTTGATGTGGGTCCAACTCTCTCGCGTAAAAGGGAGCACGGTGCACGGTGCACTTGAACATTGTCCATACTCTGCTTCAGTCCGAGCAACAAACAATGATAAGGATCAAACAAAGAAATTGTTTTAGGGGATGAAAATAAGGATCGATAAGGATTTTAAAAAGGCCAGACCGGCAGACTAAGGGAGCCAGGGAATGGGGGGTCGACTCACCCGAAGAAGGACCATTCAGAAGGACCGGGGACCGGAGGCAACCAGGGCCACCAGGGGACCAAGGATCAGGGGACCGAACATTTGTTTGATACTTGTCATGGTCATACTGATTACCCATCATCTTGTTCGGTACCCTGATCCTTTGGTCCACTTTGGTCCCCCACTTTCGTTTTGATGCGAAGTCATACTGATTACCCATCATCTTACTGATGCTTGCCTATCCGGGCCTATCCCCCGTGAACAAAGTGCTTGAGGCGTACCTTGCAAATGGACAAGGTCCAACAAAGTCTGTGCTGAAGTGCTGGCAAAAATACACATCCAACAGGGGAACATATGTTATGTCTGGTGCACGATGTAGTGATCGGTGAGATGTCCTACCGGATTTATGGGCAGGGTTCTTCCCTTAGGAATGAATATCCTACCACCTTCGCTGATCCCCACGCGCCACTGGTTGCTTCCCCCAGTCCAGCGCTTGGACTCGCCACAGGCGCGGTGGGCTGTATGCAGTAGGGTGACCAAGGATACATCTGGCAGAAGCCCGATGGGGTACCTTGGCTCGATCGAGTGGGGCGGTGCACCACCGCAGTTGCTGCGGCGACCTGCACAGCCTACCTGACACCACCTGCGCAGATAATTCTATTCAACGGAATTCTATTTTATTCAACAGCTCTGATTTCAGTATGTTTTTGTTTTTCCATAGTGAGGACCAACGTGCATCCAGGATGCTGCCACCTATTTTCTCTGAACTCATGTTCCTTAAAAATCAAACTTGGAGAAGACCAGTGGTCATGATCCATGTATAATTAGACAGTCAACATGAAACACAAGAGAGAGAGAGAGAGAGCGCGCGCGAGAGAGAGAGAGAGAGCGAGCGAGCGTCCTCCAACCTACGCCCCGCATCCCGGAAGTTCGTGTCAAATAGGTCATGGACCAAGGATCTTCCTTCACTTTCCCCCAGACGAGTCGTCAAAAGACATTTGTTCCCGCAGACGAGTCGTCAAGGAGCCGCTAGGGAGTTGCTTTGCCGATGGGGATTGCTGCGGCTGTGCCATACACATCGGCAGCCAAGGCTGATAGAGGCAATAGTAGCTGGGTACCTCCAATGCGCCCATATGCCGTGAAGGGGTTGGGCACACCCTCAAAAACATTCAAAAACCTGGAAGTTGTTGGGGTGGAAGAAGAAGATGAAGACTGGCGAGTTGGTCCAAAAGCCATGTCAAGCAGGGTGGGGCTGATCCCAAATTTGCCTCTGGCCTGCCAAAGGCTGATGAGGCAGCTAGCCATCTCAAACGATTCATCTGTCCACCCAAGAATACTGGATGGCGCCGCCCAACACTTCTGCATAAAACGGAGCTTTCTCGAAGCGTGCAACTTCAGCAAGCATGGCTCACCATTCGGATGCTTCTTTCTGGTAGCAAAGCCTACCCTACCACAACACTACGATGTGACCCCCCGATGTCGGATGGTGCTTTTCTCCTGCTCTGAAGCGAGCTCCCCGTTGCGCACGAGCAAACCATTTGGGGGAAGGACACATCTCCTCACTCTCGCGACTTTGGCAAGACGGAGGCTCCAAGGCTTCAGGCGGACGAACCACCTGTCTCGCCAATGAAAAAAGAACGGGGGGAGAGCGGGTCGCGAGGACTCCGGCCAACACCATGGTTTCAAGAGAAACAACATGGAAGTAGATAAAGTTAATAAAGTAGAAAATAACATGAAAAGTATGATAAAGTAGAAATCACACCACAAGCCAAAAGTCACGGTCTGCCCCTTTACATCCTTTGTCATTGTTGTCTATATAATTCTCTTGCATAGGTTGCACATCAAACATTCCAACACACTGGTTGGTGAACACTTGCCAGATTGTCTGCTCATATTGAAGGGAGGCTCACCTCTACATCCTCGGCTAGGAGGATTTGCCCCACGTATGCCGTGATGCCAAACGCAGCAGACGAACGAATTTCAACGTGGAAGTGGGTGGATGGTGGATAGCTTTGATGGGACCTCGCAGAAAGCTCACTGAACCCATCTCACGAACTGGAAAGATGATGAAAGATGTCCGACCTCGAAATGTGTGGATCGACTACTCGCACAGTCCATCTCAGGGGAAGGCTGCCGCCCTCATCCCCCGTTCTTCGCCATGAAAACTGACCAAGGATGCCTACACCCCAAGCCTTCGTCATTCACCCCAAGCCTTCGTCACACTCCCACCACTCATCACCTGCTCCCAACACGGCGGAAGTTGCTTAGCAAATGCCGCAATAGGAGGAACGTGTGCCGCGCGCAAGGCTCAGACGTTGCTTCACCAACTCATAGAGCGAGCTGTCCTGTGGATGTGGGTCAAAATGTTGGGGACTCCGTGGCCGAGACCTCAAGGCCCCGCAGTCAAGGCCCCTCTCCTCAAGGTTCTTCTCTAGGCAAATCTCCTCAGCCAAAGCGAGAACGTGATTAGCATCTTCATCCTGCCGGGATCAAGCTGGAAGCGGTGAAATTCTGCATCTCCAGGACACATCGAGACACATCAAGACACATCAATGTGAAGTCGGTATTCTTGGTCTCAAATGGGGAATGCCCCCAAATTGCGGGTTAGTTTATCAGGCGAGGAACGCCCAAAGTTTGAAGGAGATCCCTTCATCTTGAACTATATATAAATGTAAAAGCATATACTTACTACGTGGCTGCTTGCCCATTCGGACAGAAATGACAGAAATCACGTTGCGCTGACAGAAGCAAGCACTGAGGCACACAAGCATGGGCACCAACACAATCCCATGACTCAAGTCCCTGGGTATTGAGCAACAAACAGCAAAAAAGAACAAGGATGAACCAACTCTGAAATCAAGCTTTGGACATGCGGCTTTCGCTACAAGTACATGGAATGTTTCTTTGTTGGAAGATGAACCCCCTGCAAACCAGGGCAGCCTGCAAACCGGCCTGTCGGGCATCGAGCAAGGCGCTCCCCAGATCAAGCAAGATTCCAACACCTTGGCAGAATTTCGGTTTCCATACTCCCCTTGACTCCTGCTGATGGCAAGGCAATCGCTCTGTCATCCCGGTGTGAGCCCGGTCCGCTTCAGAAAATATGTCTAGTTACCAGTGACGCTTCATCTACAACAAATTGTGGATGGTTGGTTCTGAAGAAGCCATCTACTTGGCTGTCCGCGGCACAACGTGTTTGGGACAAAACTTTCAGGATTCCCCAAGAAACCCTCTAGCTGAACCTTCGGGACTTTGATAGAATGTTCGGATCACTATTGGGACACTGGGACAATCCTTTTCCTTGAAAGCCAATCATCTTGGATCCTGAGAAGGATATTTGTGCGTTGTCGGGGTGGGAAAGATTCGACTTCCGTGCAACCTTGCAGAGAATCGCAAGGACAGTGGAGGGCTCCTCTTGTCATCTGCAAGGCTGCCCGCAAGGTAAGGGGAACAAATTCAGATCTAAAATCGTTGCGAGGTCAGGAAACCACAATAACTACAAACAAGAGAAAACTAATGTAGACTCTTGATTAATAACCCCACCGTTTGAATGGGAAAATCCTCTTCATATGGGGGGGTATTAATCAAGAGTCTACATTACGCAACTTCTCTGGGATAGATTGTCGTCTACTTTGACTGTTGGAAAGCCTTTGACAAAACATGAATGTTGAGGTTCTCTATAAGAATTGCTCTCTATCCAACTGTTTGAACCACCACTTGTCCTGCAAGAGACCTTCTTCGCTGCGCAACTGCCCACACTCCTCACATCACGAAACAGGCACTGACATTGACTGACATGGACAAGGCTACTGAGAAACAATCTTAAGCAAGAAGGGGGATGCTTTGGCAGATCATGGAGCACTGACTTCGTGCATCCTTTTGAACAACCTGTGCCCAACTTCTTCCAATATCACTGGTGCCGTATCACTCATTCTGAAAAGGTCTGAAGAGCCGAACACCAAGAGCATGGCCGTATTCAGATGACACTTTCTGAGATGACATATGGTTAGAATGGCACCATGCATGGCCCCGAAAGGATGGCCAATGATGGCCAATGTGAATTCCACCTTCCATGGATGAGACATCAAGGAGTGTCACCCACGTTTGGAAAGCAAAAGTCCCTTCAGCCCACTTGAAACGCCCCGCATGTCCTCCATGAAGACTTTGCCCTCGCGCAAGCTCTGCAATTCTCCTCATGGCCGTGTCGACACGCGGTTCATTTCGCGTGGCGCTCTTAAAGGATTTTGCTTAAAGGGTGCATGAACCCAACTGATATATGTCTGTCTATTAGTTGAACAGAAACACGTTAAACATGAACCCTCAATATATAGATTTCTTCCCCAGCAGGCTTTGGGCAATCATGGAAAACATCTCGAAACATGTCATCTCACCTGTGCAATTCATCTGTGCAATTCTTTCCGATTCATGGTTGCTTGGAGAAGCCACCATCGGACGTCCTGTTCCGTGACACCGTTTCGCGCTCTGAGCTGCTGCAGCTGCGTGTTTCGGCGCCGTGGGCGTTCGAGCGGTGCGACCGGTTTGGCTTCGACCGGCCGTGGGCGTTGCGATTCAGATGAGTTGATCTGAACATGAGGGAAGGGTTCCATTGGCACGGAGAGAGGATCATCCGGAAGTCAGTCTTTTAAGATTCCATCTTGCTTGTTTCAAGAGCATCTTCACGTGCGAAAGGAAGCGGCGCACAAATCAAGCAAAGGCTTGTGTAAGGCAACTGAGAACCCACCCAAACATGTGGTCTTGCATGAAAGGCCAACTCCAAAACCTAAACTGGCCATGGGACTAGGGGTTCATGGGGCTCAAGCCGTGTCTTGCGCGAAGCCTTCAAATGCCAGGTCTCTTGTCGAATCCTTGAGCTTGCAATAGCATTGCGCCCTGCGTTTCGCCAACAATGCGCCTAAAAAGAAGCAGTGGAAGAAAAGCACAGCAAGCCACAGCAAAGAAAGACGGACCAGTATAGACCACTGGGATACCTGCAAATATACTATCCAGTATATCATTCTCCTAGGTCCGCTGAACCGTTCTTGGATGTGTTTTGGAACCCACTGGAACATGCTTGGCGCTTTCAGTCGCGCCGCTCCGAGCTCGCTCACCGCAAGGTCCAGGGTCCAGGCCTTGCGCCGTTCGCAGCATCCCGAGCTTTTCCAGAATGGTCCGGCTCACTTCCTCCGACCCAGCGGTCCCCAACGGTCCGCGCAGCAAAACGCCACTCGGGTCCGGCCAACGGCGCGTCGGTCCGCCAGTTTGGCTTGGATTTTGGGGAGGGTCCCAATGTGGGCCCAACGGGTTCCTAGAATTCTCAAGGTGTATGAAATCTGATGCAGAGCTCTTGCACTTGACCGCAAAACTGCACCATAGAATGCAGTTCGTCAGCTGCAGAATGAGGTGAAAGCTCCCGATGATTCGAGGATCCTCATCAGGTCTACTCGGCAAACCCTCTGCTTATAAAGGAAGGGCGTAAGGCATCCATTACTCCATTACCTTTATAAGCTCCGCCCGGGACAGGCCCGGCACAGCATCATTGTCAACATGTAAAGCGTACTATGATCAGTAAGTCCTCGGCTCCCTGACTATGTCTCGTTGGCTCGTCTCGTTGGCTCCCCTTCTCGCTCCCCTCCCGGTTGGTGAGTCGTGTGATTCCAAGGCTCCAACTCTTCCAGAGCCCGGGCAGAGTCACCAGAGGCCAAGTAACAAAAGCTGAGCTGCTGCAGCACCTGATGTGGGGAGAGAAGAAAATCACAAAACACTGGTGGCAGCTACTGTGCTACTGTGACAGCTGGTGACCCTTTTTAAAGATGGATGAACATTGGATGAACTCTGGATCCATCAAATCTTTTCACTGGCCGAACGACGCTTGAGGAAGGTGTCCATGTCCCTACAGGTCATCAAGAATGCATGCAGGTGTATGGGATGAAACAGGTGTCGGCCCTGATTTGAAACACAGCCTCTGAACAACTGTGAAAACTGCTGTTCCCATGTATAACATATAACCAATCTAGCTCCAACGGAGACAACTCAGTCAACTTCCAAGCTTTGCGACTAAATCCCAATGAAATCTTCCAAATGCACAAGCAAGCCAGGTGTCAACTGCAGATCCCTCCACCACCAGAACCGCGCTTCCCCCCCACATGCGAACCACGTTAAACACGTGCCACCACGCGTGCCACCACGTCGCACCTGGGCACCCTGAGGCGTGGTCAACTGCTGCAGGTGCTCCCGCAAGCGGCGTGCCTCCTGGGCATGGCGCAGACCCTCCTGGATCAGTCCCAGCTTGCACTCGGTCACGCCCATCATGGCCAGCAAGTCCTGAAGGTGGAGATACTGGGAGGTGGGAGATTCGCACCCCCTCACAAATGCATGCAAAACACATCGAAATACTGCAAAACACCAATCAGAAGATCAGCAAAGAGTTACTATACATATACTGCACGTCACCATGCTTTGACATGAACATGTTTCCAGGTTGTAGCTGGGTTTGAAGGTGAAACACGAAGGATCCATTACAAGGCCTTTTTGACTCTCAAAAGGTGTTCGTCCCAATGATTTCAACCCAACCTCCGCAAACAGCTTTTTCACCTCCTTGAAAACCCTTGATCCTCTTGATCATTCTCCGCGCCACGCTCAACGTCAAGCCACGACCATGTCTATAAAGGCTTCTAAAAGGCTTCTTTCTTTATCGACACCATCGACACCATCGATCACCGAGGGGCAGAGGCATCCAGCGTCTGGGCGCCAGTGGCTTCCCGGATGGACCAAGCCTTTTGGTATCGCTCCATGGCCTCGAAACCACCGACGACACGACGGTCGTTGAACAACGAACCAACGCGAGTCGCGGGGGTTGCACGACCGGTGGCGAAAAAATCCTGGTGGGAGGCCATCTGTGGGGTGAAGTGGAGGGGTGAGGGGGGAGGATGCACGGAACCCCTGCGGTCACGGAAGGGGTGATGAATGGCCAGTATGGACTACACCATGAATTTAGATGATAAACCATGAAAGTCTCACGCGATGAGGATATTGAGGATGCTGTTCGGGAAAAGCACCATGGCGCTGATTGAGACCCTATCTTCTACGGCCCGAGCACACGAAAACTCCCAACGTTGTGACCACACCACACCACTTAGGCGCGCTGCGCCGTGCAAGCGCGCCGCCACACGTGCGCGCTGCGCCCTCCCGCCCTTTCAGATCAAAAGCCTCATCCAGTTCCCCGGCGTCTGAGAGCTGCAATGCCAGGGAGGTGAGCACTGCTGCACCATCGTGGGAACGCAAGCAACCCAACCTCAGGCCATCTCTTGCAGGTGCCGTGCGGAAGCAGATCGAATGGGCTGGGGTTGGCTTGGAAGTTGGTGGGCCGGCCACCAAGAATGGTGGAAGCGGGTGTCCACGAAGTATTCACGCCCTTTCACCCTCGTCAAGTGATTTTAACCTACGTTGCGTGAACAGAGGTGCATGTGACCTTTTCGTAAGTGTTTTGCTCTAAGCCATACGGCATCCTAGAAGCTGCCCCCTCCAGTGCCGCTCCAAGCAGCTCTTCTAGCATCTCTGAGGCTTGCCTGTAGGCATCCGCAGCCTCTTTTCTCCGACCCAAATACTCCAAATTCTGACCTCGTTCGGCGGCAGATGGCGGCAAATTGTTGAGCATTGTAGTATATTATATATATATGTTGTTCATGTGTTTCATGGACTAATTCTGCGAATCTGTAGCTTCGTCATGCTTCGTCTAAGATCCAAGAGACAAAGAGCAAAACAATGCGTCCACAAAGTGAGATCGTGGTTAGCCCGTCACCTCTATGAAGGGTGACCCGCTCATGAGCGGCTCGGCACACAACCGAGTTCAAGAACACTCACACGCTCATCTGAGAAACAATATGAAGCAACTGATGACGCAATCAACCTGGAAACGGGATGTTCATGGATGTTCCCAGGATTGTGGGATGTTCACTGTACCTAGCTGCGAAGTCTTCGGCGTTTGGCATCTTCAACGAGGCGAAGTTTCAGTTTCACCGTTGGGAGGTGAGTTGAGGATTGCGCGCCACTCGGCGCGCAACAAGCGCCGAGTAGGAACTCCTGATCGGACACATCTGTTGTGATCGGACTTTTGATGTCTTTTCTTTGATCGTTCAGAACAAGAGCTGAGGAAAACTGGATGATTCCTATTCCACACTGAGAGAAAGAAGCTTGGTCCTTTCTCTGTGAGCTTTCCGAACAAACCAATGCCATCTATGCCCGGGTCTTCCGCACGGCTCCTCTTGTTTGGCCCTTTCAACTTCTTCAGTCTGAGTGGCCAAGCACTCTGAGCAGGTTGGCTTTCTCTTCGGACTCTTCCGCTGCCACCCGTCCAGCACAAGCCCTGGGGCCACCCGTCGAGCACGAGCGGATCGACGGTGGCCCGGTGGGCACAGCCAGCAGCAACCGCTCTGAGCGGAGGTGGCCCGTAGCAGTCGCAGTCGACAAGCAACAAAGTCAGTGTTGTAGCAAAAGTGGAATAGACAAAAGTCCTTCTTTCATATTCTTTGGGAGTCTTTGTATGCTCGAGTTCCTCAAGGTCTCAGTTCCTGACAAACTCCTCCAAAAACGAAGAATGTTTGAAGGGTCTATATTCTTTTGACTTTGTGAACAATGACTGTTCCATCAAAGAAGTGATTCTACGTGATTCTTGTATCTGTCAACTCTTTATTCTGTCTAACTCCAAATCATCCTTTTGGGCATTTAAATAGCACACCTTGAAAAGCCCCCTGCACAGCTTAAAAATACAGTTCTCACATACCACACCAACTCGCGATCCAGGGTTCGCCTCTCACGCCCTTCCACTAAGAGTGGGGTACTAGAGAGTAGGTATGTACAACACAAATCACAATGTACACAAAGAAAAGTGTATCACACCAAAATCCCGCACCGGTGTAAGACACAGTGAGGATGGGTGACATGTTAAAAATGAATTACACCAGCCACATATGCAAGCATCTAATTCGGAACGTCGATATCAGCGAGATTATGCTTCAAGCGAAGGCATTTCTTAAGCTTTTGATAGAGGTTATGCCTCTTTCGGTACGTAATATCAGAGTAAGGCGGATTGGGACAAAGTTCATCGGCAGCTTTGAGTTTCGGAAGCATCCGCACATTAAGTGGATATGATTGGTTCGGCATGGACGAATAGGAAGTCAAATTCGCTATCAGCAGATCAGCAAATGGTAAGTTCGGACGCGCAGAAATGCCCCCTACAAGACTGCGGTGGTACCCCAGTCGTATCAAAGAGCTCGCATTAGTTTTCTTATATCGGGGGTAAAACTCGCACTGGAGGGTGTTTTCTAGGTAACGCACGACAGAGCGAAGAACAGAGGCTTGATGCCACAAGCTTCTTTTTTCCTGAGGTTGGATTTGAGCTTCGGGTGAGTCAAAATCATATGGCAAGGGCAATTTTTCGGTCTTCGACGAAATCCAAATAGGCAGAAAATGTCCTGTAAAGATCGCAAAGTAAAAGGCCAATTCATACCATGAAATACCAAAATCACCTGGTGTAGCCGGCGAGTCAAAGGTATGAAACATACGCCAAACCTTAAATGCAATGGACGCACCACAAGGACATGCTTGCGCAACAACTTCTGGCAGGTCACACCGAAGTATCCAGCCCACATTAGAGACTCGCCATGTTCGAAGCGTGTTCTGATAATTAGAAACGGCATCAAGTGTGTTAAATTCGTGTGTTTCAGCCGCATTCTGTTCTTTTTCCAAATTAAGTTTTGAATGAAGTGCATTTAACTCCGCTAGGTAACGATATACAGTTGACAAAACATGCTGTTGGCGTTGCGAGTGGTCAAAGACAGTTTCCGTGGCAGTCAAGAGAAGGGGGGTATCTAATTTATTGATCTGCTTAGCTGCCCTGTCAGCCAAATCATTACCCATAATGGTGTATAAATCCTTGGAGTCACATGCCTCTTCAAATTTTCGATGTAATTTGACTTTGCAAATAGTGGTATAACGGATTCCAATTTTGCTGAACAACCTGGAGAAGGTCCACATGAGTTTTTTGGTAAGTTCTGGGGTCTAATACTCCCTGGGCTATTTCTTCAACGATCCTAAGCGCAAAGTATGAATCCGTGTAAATCGTCATGAATCGATTTGGATAGGCAGTGGCAAAATGCTGTGCCAACCATGCTACAGCCCCTAGTTCGCTTCGATTAATTGTCTGTTGACCCTGGATATGCGATGTCTGCGCAACCTGAAAATCATCAATGGATGGGTCGTCGGGATTTTGATGGACATGTTGAACGACCGCCCATGCGGCTCGACAACAGTTTTGATGTGCCGGTTTATCACAAGTGCCATCTGTATAAAAGACGAAATGTGGACAATCGGCAATATTAGGGATATCAAGAATTGGTCCAATCCGATCTTGAACCAGCAAGTTGTATGTCTTCTGGGCAGCATGCTGTGTGGCAAGAGGGAACCAGAGCAAGTTGGGAAATTCTTGAAGATAAGTTATTGCCTCAGGATGTTTATCACGGAGATGTTGGAAATTCGGACAGTCCTTTCGACCTAATTGATTCCTTTCGACCACCAGTTGCCAAAAAAACATCGCGTTGGTACTGTAGGGAGACTTGTCCATCCCCAATAGGATGTGCCAAGGAACAGCAACTCCCTGGCCTTCTCGTATTGCGCCAGTCGATGCAAAAAGGAAGCGATCCTGAAGTGCAATTGAAAAAATGAAAAACCTGAGCTGTGGCCGCCTTGAAGGGTAGCGTCCAAAAGAAAAGCCTGGCAACTACAAGGTTCGGTTCAGGGGTGATTGGGTGGTATGGTGGTACCCCATTCTTGCTAGAATACAATCATGCACAACTGCAAGATCTTGATCCCCCATTACTCATCACCATGTGTTTTGAGAAATGCCAAATCACCTGCCCCAGCTTGGCGCTTCATACACTCCTCACAGCCATATTCCGAAAACGCATGAAAACACATGATCCCGGTCGTCTTTTTGATGCCCAAGTCACTGGCTGGAAGTGGCAATGGCCTTCTGTCCAAACAAGTCGCCGGTTTCCATCTGCTGCTGAGCTTCCCACGTGGCGGAAGTGGCCAACCAGCGCAGCAGCTGCTGTCGGACCACCTGCGTAACCGCAGGTGGAAGGCAGGTGCAAGGGCCTTGATGGTAGAGCTGCTGGTCGGGCTGGGTGAGGTTGTGGATGGAAACAGGTTCGGGGTTACAGGGTCAAAAGTAGAAGAAAGAAAACCAACGCACACCTGCAAAACTATGGGTAATCGAAAGCATTGGGAGCACGGGGGGCGGATGTCAAGAACACAAGCAACTGGATGGTATGTTTGAAGCAACAGATTATGATGGGTTTGGCTCAGCCTGGCTTAACCATTTCCTCAGATATACGTTATCAGTCAAGTATATATTAGTTGAGACCCTGGCAGCCCACCTAAACCGTTTATATAAGTATCTTCAAAGCTATTGGGACCCAAAAGGTGCTGGTCCAGCCTGGTTCAAGCAATCAAATCCAACTCCATCTGCAACAATTCGAAGGATATTTTCTTTGTCGGATGCCACGGAGGCATCAGCCCGTTGAACGTCCAGTTGTTCCAGGGAAGCCCATAAGTGCTTATCCTTAGATTGCATGAACTCAAACACTTTGTTGGCCATTGCGATTCTGGAGAGCCTTGTTCAATCCACCCCAGAAAAAAATGAGTAAAAGATAGTAAACGTGTGATTTCTTGCAGTGAAGATTCCAGAACACCGTCGTGGATGGTGCCACTAAAGCGTTTCATCTCTACTGGAGGCAGAATCACCGTCAGCTCGCAGTTCTCCTTGGATGGCGGCGTTCCGCCCAGGGGAAACCCCTTCTTTGCTCATCGCTACGTGCCACTCTTCGCCGCGAAATTCCTGCCACACCAGGCGTGAGTTTCCATGTCATGGAGCACTCATCATATCATAGGCGCCCTCTGTGAAAACAGGTTGATTCCAGGACCGAAACAAACAACAGGGAAAACATAGGTAAAACATTGAGGACACCCAAGTTGTTGAGGTATATCTACGTATATCTAACGTCTTTGATGCACCTCGCAAAAGAAACCAAAGACACCCCCTTCACAGTGGCCAGAAAGCCTGCTTGGCATCGACTAGAGTCGTTGACGGCGGTGAAGATTTCAAAGACACACCACACGCGGCTGACATAGACCTTGATGTGATGTAAACAGCGCAAAATACTGAGATGTCTGGAAGTCCAAGATGCTCCAAGACCGAATGAGAATAGTCTTTAAGCCAGGGTTCTATGTTGATCGAGTAAAGGAGTTTGAACTTTGAACTTCTGGTGGGGAATCAAGTGTTATCCTAGTGTTGCCATAGTGTTCCATTCAGTCCAAGTTTTGCCCTCTTCAACCAAATACTGTGATCCTCTAAATAAAAATAACTGCTCACCTATATAGTATCAAGCTGACTGGTGTGAGTAGGACTTGCTGCGGATGCAGTTGCAAATGCTTATAAGGCTAGCCTCTTATTCGACCTTCTTTGTAACCCTCCAAGAACCTCATCCATCTCCCATCTCCAAACAAAAAGCACCCCAAACCAACCACCTCCGACAACTCCTGTGTTCTCCCACCAAACCAACCAAGCAAACCGCAGCAAACCCAGGCGCCGGGTTGTCCCACGGCGCCATAAGTGCCAGGACGTGGCCCACGCCCACCACCCGCTGCTGGAAGTGCTCCCGGAAGTCCTCGAAGGGCACCACCAAGCCCGCGGCCTGTGCCTCCAGGCCGGAGGCAACGAACTCACTGCGGAGGCGCGGGGGAACGAGGATGACCGGTGACCAGTGCGGTGAACCGAAAAGACTGGAAGACTGGGCGAAGAGGGACTCAAAGACTGGGCGAAGACTGTGCGAAGACTTTGGGCAACGAAGTTAGAATCTTCCGAATCGTTCGGTGCCTTCTATAGTGCCTAGTAAGTATATACAGCTTGACGGTGGCATGTCAACTTCTCGTCGAGGGCATCCACGAAAAGGCGCTGATATTCGATCATCCATGCTGGTACATTTGTGCATGCTCCCTTCGCGCGTTCCTCTGAGCGGTCTTGGATCCATCCGCCACAACTGTCCACTGTCCTGTCCATCCGCCTCTTTGACACGGTGTTGGTTGATGCAAAGGCAGCAAATCCAGAAATACGTCCCTCAGGGATGACAAGCGGACGGACTTCCTGCAAACTGCAATGATACCCCCAAGGGATCCCAAAAGGGTTTTCAGCTTCATGCCTATCTTCAAAACTCCTGGTTTGCACAGGAGTTTGATGCTCTTTAGCAGCAAACGACTGTGCGGTCAAGCTGCGTTTCATATCTCGTTCTCGGGTCTCACAATGGTGCACCAAGGAGGTGATGATGTCATCCACCCGATATCTCCAAGAGTAGCCTCACACAAGTCTGTGCAGCAATCATCGTTGAGCCAAGGACGGTGCACGATCCTTCCTACACTTCATCCACACAAATGGAGACCGGAATGAAAACAGACAACCCATAGGGAACAAAAGCAACCGAAACACGCCCAAAGATTGGCATGGACAAAATGAGCGACGTCTCAGGGGCATCACACGTCTCAGGTGTTTTGCTGGCTTTTGAAAGGTTCCAAACCTGGCCGTTCCGAACAACATGAGGCTTTCAAAGTTTGGTGTGCCGGTTCATCCAGTGTCACTGCTCATATCACAACCCATCAACCAGATCCAAGCACCAGCACATGATGTAGTCATGGTCAAGATGCACATGTCAGTACAACAAAATATGCCTTTGAGAGGGCTAAGCCAAGGTGATGCCACTTCTCAACCTGTTTAACCAACATTTCAAACCATGTTGAACCCAACGGCGTCGGTGTGAGCAAGCTACCACGCGGTAGCTTGTGGGACTCACGGTGGTAAGGTGGACCAAGCCCGCATCGGGTGATCAGAGATGACTCCGAAGGAAAAAGGGCAGGAATGGAACTTCGGAAGCCAAAGTTCCAAACGTAGTTCGCGGACATGATTCTTTTGAAAAACGCGGAGGAAAAAACACAAAAACACACTGAATTGTTTTTCAGGTTGAAGCCCCATCCAACAACTGTGATGTTGACATATGCTGACCATCCCCCAAGTGGATCTAAGCCAAGGAAACTGAGCATGAAGTTGGAGATTCCAGCATCTTCCGATTCACCCAACGCGTCCACATATGATGAGCCCAGCTGATGTGTGTGAGGGCACATCACATCCTTGCCGCGCTCACGGATCAAAGGCTCGATCTCATGAATGCAGGCTGTAGTGTCCTAGGCAACAACTCGGAGGTCGGCAACGACAGCGGGGTTTTGTATTTCAATAAAAAGACCTCCCAACCAATGGATTTTGTCTGCTTCTTTTTAGATTTTCCCAGAGATCGTCTAGGGGTCTCCCTATTCAACTATGATACACAACCATATCAACTTACATCTCTGGTTCAGTGAACCGGCTTCATCCCACAACAGTGTGACAAGTAGATAGGTTACGATGAATTCACCTGTAGGGTGCTCCTTCTCTTGAATTTTGAGACACTTCGACTTTAGGCAAAAGAAGCATCGATCAATATCGATCAACCGGCGCACACAAAAGGGACTCAAAGAAGCGGAGAAAAAGAACTCCAAGAAGCTCTTGCCCTGCTTCTCCAAGAAGACATAGGGCACATAACTTCTCTCATGGCGTGGCCCTCATTATATACTTGTTCATGCCTTCTTCATGCCTTTCCTCGTGGCTTGTTTCATGTTCTTCTGCCGTTGTGGCTGAAGGATTCTGAAGGGAGTTCTCGCCCACAGCGGCCCCTCGCCGGCGACTCGTTTGGTCTCCCCCAGCAAATTCAGAACTCTCCGACCCACGGCACATGAGCTCTATCCGGGCCGAGACTCCTGCCCATGTGAGCTGATCCACTCGACCAAGTTCCCTCGCAGATGTTCCGCGCTCACGCCCCGCAGGGCATGTCCCAGCGAGGAGTCCCGCTGGGAGCACTCCATGACGGTAGGGAGGTCTCTCTCTGAGAGTCTTCATCACTTGGCAGAGAGCTTTGTATGCCCCCAAAACTGATACCACGTCAATTCTTGCGCTCTTTTGTCATGTTTAGTTCAACCATGTTCAACCTCAAAAATAAAACTTTGTGTGGGTCATCCCGCGAAAGGCTTCCGAAGGTCACATGGTGCTCAGGAAGGGATCAATTCATTGAGAAAGAATTGGGTCGCCTCCCGCTGCTCCCTGGTGCGATGAACGAAAAGCAAGAAACTGCAAGCGCTGGCAGGGTGGGATATAGAGGTTGTGCATTCTAGCTTCTATGCCCACCCTCTAGAGTATCTCTTCAATCTTCATTCTATTTCTATGCTTAACAATCATTGAACATCTTGAAGATTGAAGATACCTTGACATCGGGGCGGAGGAAGCGAGCAAGCAACGACTTTCCTAGACTGAAACTGGGGTTGTCTTTGTGATTTTTGTGGGTAATGAATTTACCCACTTGGAGATTGTTAGACTAAGCTATCAATGGGCCAAAATCAATCGATGCCATACATGACTCATGAGAGTGTTTCTTTTTCCGATGAAAAACATATCCAAAAGACTAAAAGAGCATCGCCACTGCTTTCCGACCCCGAATCAGAAGCTGCTTGAGAATCTGGGGTCTTTAGCCAAGGCAGCCCATCCCCCATCTCCCCATTCACCCACCCATCCTTGGGGTCCGCGCCTGCCGGGCGGACAACGAATGCCTCGACTGAGCAGACTCCGAAGCCAAACGTTTCCCTCGCACCTGGGAGGCTCCAGGAGACCAGCGGAACTCGCCACTTCGCCACTGGGCAAGACGGTTCGCCGAAAAAGGATCGAAGACCCGAGAGGTAGAAGATGGTAGGGGACATGGAGTCGAAGAACAGGGATGATGGAGCTGATTGACACACGGGATGATGGAGCTGTTCTTTGACCGGATCTTTGTTGGGTCTTTTGATTCGAACAGTTCTTTTTACACACCCAGATGGTGGTGAGCATATGGAAGCATCAACTCCTGAAAGTCTCGCTTTTTGCGCCAAGGACCTGAAATCATTTCACCTTAATGTGTTTCATTTGAGGAACTTACCTAAGGCACATGGACTTGTCAGCTTCTTGGCACTTCTCAAAGAAGCTTGGCCTCTTCTCTCACCTTCCCCTTTCCTCCCCTTCCCTTCCTCTGCATCCTCCGCATGGCCTCCGTTTATCCTGCGTTGGCTACATCCGGCCTGCAAGGCATGAAGGGCGCACTCCCCTTCACCGCAGTCCTCATCCACCTCCATGAGCTGCTCTACATCCAGCTGCTCTTCGGCCAAAAGCAAAGTGACCTGGCCGTTCGGAGATCTGCCAGATTGAGTTTGAGCCCTCCGTCAGGGACCTTCATCAGAAAAAAAAACAACAACAACTTGAAACATCCTCTTCATCTGGTATTTGCCCTGTGATGGTGTTGAGATGGGAAATGAAACTTTGCAAACCATGGTTCGGAACCTATACTTCTTGATCCATTTGCTTTCCGCGACCAAAAACATTACTGATTTAATGCATCTTTGCGTATCTTTGCCATCTATATCTACCACTTTCATTAAAGCTGTCATCCACCCCAGATCTTTTGTACACCCAAATATGGACAACCATGAATGCGCAGCACGGCCCATCGCACTTCTGAAAGCTGCAGAGCCTGGAGGATGGAAACACATCGCATCCGCCAAGTCCTTGGTGAAGATCTCGTGGCTTTCGGCTTTCGTGAAAAAAAGAACACATCCTTCACCTCTGGAATTTCACCTAAACCTCTGGTGACTCTGGTGTTTCATGACATGTTCACCATCGTATTGACATGTTTGGACTCCTTTCTGATGTTGCTTTCTGGTTTGGACTCCCTCTCACCTCACCGGAAGATTCCATGGGCTCATCGGTCCGGATGGGGTGAAGTATAGCGACGGGACCTCGCTCCGTTCAGACAAAAGCAGAAAGAGAAGCGGGTCACGGAGCCATGACACGAGGTTCTTTAAACCAAAACACACGAAGTGCAAACAGGTGGCGATGAACTCCATGTAACCATTCCAGGAAGTGTATCTTGCATGATGATTCCAGGGAGGATGAGAAAGAAGGCCGTCTTTGACTTGATTGATGGTTGACTTGTTCTTAGAACACCGCATGGTTGAATGCGCTCCTATCAATGATGGTGGAACATCTCACGGGACAGTTTTTTCTAAAACACCCCATCGAAACAAGCTGTTGGTAGAAATATCCGGACAATTCCTGAAATATCCACAGGGAAGATGGCCCAAAGATGGTCTGCACATGTCGGCCTTTGTCTCAATACCCCAGTCGTGTACTTAGACCTGGCAGGGCCGAACGACACCGTCCAGTCGGTGACACCGCCGTTCCTTCACACGGACGACCCAAAAACCGCTGCGAACCACGGAGAAGTCCGGCGGACCGCTGGACCGACGTTCGCTGCTTTCGCCCTTGGAAAACCGAACTCGCAGAGGTTCTGAAGATCGACCGCCAGACCTTTTGGAGAATCAAGCTACGAACATAACATGCGCATCTGGCTACTAGTAGCGTAGCTTCCTGCTAGTAGAAGCTGCCCTTGTTACTAGTAGCGATGCCTTTGGAAAAGCAGGGAACCGCCCACTTTTCCCAGCATGCTGTTATGGTCACGCCAAGGCGCATGGTCTCTAGTGATGATGGAAAACTGTGAGTCGATCTGAGCCAGTGCTGTCAGGAAAAATTCACCAAGCTCTTCTGCATCTTCCTGATGCCCTCCAACCTACTGGCGATGGCCTCCAACCACTCATGGGTCTGTGTTTGCGGGGATTGATACTTCTAGACTGGCAGGTACCATTTGACGCATATCATATGCCCCTCCAACATGCACATGCTGCCGCCGGCTTTGAGACACAACTGATCCAAGGGCTACAAGACCCCCAGAATGTGCGCACGACGGTCCTTTTGTGACGTGCAGGTACAGGATTTACGAAAGGAGCTCATCTACATCTTTTTGACAAATGATTTCCAAGCTCGCAGCTGGTCTGCTCTGCATGGGTATTGAGCAAACCAGCTGCATGTACACTCTCCCCTCAGAGTAGGTGCCCGACGCTTCACTCCTTTAAAAATATCTATGCCAGCACGAAAGATGTCGTGAATTGGCTTGGTTCGTACCATGAGACGAAAGCCTTTACACAGCTTCTTGCAGCTTTTTACATAGCTTTTTACACGTATGAACAAGCTCCACGCCACTGACCACACCCAGGGTTTTCACATTGACAAGTGCATACCTCATACCTGTCAGGATCAAATTCATCCAAAAGAGTCCAAAAGATCAAACAAAAGATGATATCAGAAGTAGTCGCAGTTCTATAGCAGGTCAAATTGACCTCTCAAGAAACCCTCGTTTCCACCACATGCTCGGCCTATTGACTCGGGGCCAAAGCCGATCTTGCAGTGGCAGATCACCACGGAATGGTCAATGTTGCGTTGGAGTTCGACCCGAACGTTGTCTCTCCCAAATGAAGTCTCACAACTGGGCCACACAGGTGCACCCGAGATCCAGTGCTCTACGTAGCAGGCACATGGACCACGAGCTCGGTGAATGTGAGTCACGTGACAAAAGTTGAAAGTCTTTATGCGTCAAAGCGCGACTGAAGGCTGCCGTGCGACACTCAAAGCAGCTAGCAAATTCTGAGGTTTCTGGCATTCACCTCGAACTTAGCTAGTATGATTTCATCAATGTCATAGGCCCCCTGCTACTTGTGACATCCGGGCGCCGGGGGCGGCACCCATGCATACTGCTTGTCCAGAAAAAAAATCAACACTCTGAATAGAGTCACACTATATCACACTTATTCCGTGTCGATCACAGCAACAGCCGAGTGACTCGGGCCGAGTCCAACGTCAGCCTATGCGAACGAACTTTGCCCGTTGATCACCCCAAATGCTTGAGCTCGCTTTCCTGGGCTCGAAATCCGCTTAAACCGCCAAAGCAAAAGCCCACCGTTTACGCGCGTGCGATCTCCCTCTCTCTCTCTCTCTGTCTGGCTGTGGGTCATGGCTGTGGGTCAAGCTATTTTTAAGCCAGCCCAGAGTTTAGTACAGTTAAATACTCTTAAACATCCACGACATATTATGGTCTATTATAGTACAACATCTAATGTACATGGATGTAACATAGTTTACGCATTGATTATAGAGCTGTAGTTGCTGGTAACGCCTCCAGGCGCCTGTGCCTGATATGTAATAACCTCCAATAATGCAGTATCTAGTGTGCTTGATATATGACTTTGTCCTTCTGTGAGCTACAGGTGTGTTGGGGGGGGTTTTGGTGGG